GCAGATTAAAATCTCCCACAACTAAAAGGCTGGGGAGTTCAAGTGCCACCTCAGACAAGACATCGAGCAATGTGGGCAGGGCTGTGGCAACATAGCTGGGGGATAGGTATGTGACCAACAAGCCCGACTGAACTCCAGGGTCCCACTTCAATAGAAGAGACTCACACCTGCCTATCTGAGGGACAGTGACCTCCCTAGGACTCAGACTTTCTCTAACAACTACTGCCACCTCCCCACCCCTTCCCTGGTGTCGCGGCTGGTGCAGGACACGAAAGCCTGAGAGGCATAAATCAGAGAGAGGGATTCCCCCCTCTTGCCCCAACCAGGTCTCTGTGATACAGGCCAGGTCCGCACCCTCCTCATCAATAAGATCTCGTATGAGGAGAGCCTTATTCATCACGGACCTGGCATTCACATAGACGGAAACCAGGGTCCTTCGCTCTCATATCCCCAGGAAAGCAGGGTGAGCAGGAGATATGGGAGCAAGTCACCATCCGAATGCATCTGGTGTGATGCTCCCCACCCCACTTCGATTTCTTCTGCCCCTTCCCACCATCACAGGTATAGCTTGTCCCATTTACTGACTTAGTGGGCTGCTTGTTGAAAATTACAATTTGGGAATGACTTCAAAGCAGACAAAAACAGGCATTCCAAAAAGTGCTGGAAGTTTTCCTGCTCAAACTCCAAACTCCTGGGGCACTGCTAGCCCCAGTGGATACACAAGCACAAGCACAAATGCAAACACAAGTATTGACATTGGAAACACTTCAGGGTGCCTTAAAGGTACAAGCCTCTGAATTGCAAGAAAAAATCACATCTGCATTTAAAGATGTCTCTGAGGAAATGGCAGCAATTAAGGACCTAATCCAAACCCGTAATCAAGAAATAAGAGAAGACATTGTGGAAGCATTTCAGGGTTTGGTGGGTCATGTTACATCGTTGGAGGAAAAGGTTGAAGAAATTAATCTAATGTGAATTTGGAGGTTAAAGTGGATGAAGCTCAAATCAAGATCGACAAGACAGAGGCAGAACTTATAATGACAGAATATAGGGCAATGGAATTTGCTTTGAGGGTAAGAGGCTTAAAAGAAAATAATCAGGAAAATTTGAAAGAGATTTTTGCAGAAGCTCTTGCACAGTTAACTGTAGAGTGTAACTGGCAAATTGATAAAATTTATCATGTTAATTCATGGATTGCCAGGCAAAGACAACTACCAAGAGATATTGTGATCTACTTTGTTACCAGGAAGATAAGAAATGGGATCCTACAAGCTTCTTACAAAAATAAACTACAAGTGGCAGGACAGGAGGTTGCAGTATTCAAGGAAATTCCCCCTAAAATGTTGAGAGCTAAAAAAGACTATGCATTTCTAGTGGATGAATTGAGAAATCGTCAGATACAGTATAGATGGAAGATTCCAGCTGGATTGGTGGTGAATTATTCAGGAGAACGATATCGTCTCAATACAATTTGGAAGGCAAGAGATTTTTATGTCAATGTACTAAAGGCTGGATACCCACCATCTCCAGGAGCCAGAAAAAGAAAAGAAGCAGGAGATGCTAGAAAGGAAGTCTTGCAAGCACAAGCCCAGGGAGAGGCTTGGAGTACCCAAGAAGAATTAGTGCAACTTTCGGGGGCTGTGCAAGCCTTGGAGTTATTTGAAAAAACAGAAGAAGCCCAAGAACAAAGACAAACATGAGCGGCAACTAAACAAAAGGAACAAGAATTAAAGATGCAACAAACCCAGATAACAACCCAAGGAAGTACAAACATAAATACAGAAGCTGGGGGGGGGGGGCCAAGACCGAAGAAGAAATTCCAGGAGGATTTCCAGTTGGTGCTCAAAAGGCTTCAGGGGGCCAAAGATGGCAACTAGATTTTTAACTTGGAATGTTAATGGCTTAAACTCACCGCAAAAAAGGAAGAAAATATTTCATTATTTAAAACAATTTAAAAATGATGTAATTTGTTTGCAAGAAACACATATTAAGGCAAATGATCAAAAATATTTGATAAATGTGAGACTGGGAACACATTTTGTGGCATCTGCGCCAGAGAAGAAAAATGGTATAGTTATATATCTAAAGAAAGACTTAATTGCTAAATTAATTGAAGCAGACCTGCAAGGTAGATACATTGCAATTGAATTATTAATCGAAGGAAAGAAAGTACTTTTAGTGGGAATATATGCACCCGATCAACAACAAGACAGATTTTACAAGTTGCTACATACAAAATTGATAAACTGGGACTATAAATCTTGTATAATGTTGGGTGACTGGAATGGAGTATTGGATACTAGAATGGACAAGAAGAGACTTTTGCAAAATACTCAAATGCGAGCAAGATTGCCTAAATCCTTTTTTGACATGATGGAGGATATGGAGCTGAGAGACATTTGGCGTGAACGGAATTTTAAAGAACAAGACTTTACATTTTTCTCAGATAGGCACCAATCTTTTTCTAGAATTGATTTTATATTAATTACAAATGATTTTTTTTCTAGGGTGAAGAAGACGAAGATATGTCCAAGAACTCTAACAGATCATAATCCGGTGTGGATGGAATTGGAACATGGAGAGGTGTCTAAGAGATCTTGGCGCTTAAACGAAAATTTATTTAGATATGAGGGAAATGTGAGAGAATGTAAAAAATTAATGAAAGAATTCTTTGTTTTAAATATGCATAAGGAAACATCCATGGAAATGGTTTGGGATGCAAGCAAAGCATATATGAGAGGTGTCTTAATAAATTTGAATAATGCATATAGATGTAGACGGGGAAAAACAGAGGGAATTAGAAGAGGAAATGAAGAAGAAAGAGCAGGTGCTAATAAATAACCCAGATGATAAGAAAACAAAAGAAGCAATTATTTTATTGCGAGGGCAGTTTAATATGTTGATATCAGATCAGGTTGCAACTAATTTGCAATATGCGAAACATAATACCTTTTGTAATGCAAATAAGCCAGGTAGATGGTTAGCATCTATGTTGAGGAAAAAACAAAAGTCTTGTACTATAGAGAAAATAGACTATAAGGGTAAAGAGGTGTATCAACAAAATATGATTAAAAAGGCTTTTTTAGATTTTTATACGAGATTAAATACTGATGATAAAATACAAGGTATAGATATAGATAGATATCTGGAGAAGGAGAATATTCTTACAGTCACAGATGAGCAAAGGGAAAGATTGAATCAACCAATATCCGAGGAGGAAATTCTACTGGCAATTAAGCAGTTAAAAGTTGGTAAGGCCCCTGGTACAGACAGATTGACAGCGGTTTATTACAAAAATTTACAATTGGAAATGGTAGAACCCCTTAGGGAATTATTTACTAGAATACAATTGGGAGGAGGGGTACCACCATCTTGGAGAACAGCCTTCATTTCTCTGATTCCGAAAGAAGATCAATATCATACCCAGCCAAAAAATTATAGGCCAATATCATTACTTAATACAGATTATAAGATTTTTGCTAAAATATTAGCAAATAGGTTAATGTCAGTTATGCAACAAATGATCCATAATGATCAATCTGGTTTTATACATGGGAGACAAATGAAAAATAATGTAAGGCAAATTGTTAATATATTGGAGTATTTGGAAAGGAACAACCAAGTCCCTGCGGTGCTTATATTTTTGGATGCAGAAAAAGTGTTTGATCGATTGAACTGGCAATTTTTATTGAAAATGGTGCAGAGGTTGCAGTTTGGAGAATGTTTTACAAAATCTATTAAGGCAATATATCAGGAACAGACAGCGCAAATAATAATTAATGGTAGTTTAACAGAAACTTTTAAAATAGAAAAAGGAACAAGACAGGGTTGTCCCCTGTCCCCATTACTGTTTATTTTAACGTTGGAATTATTGTTGAACAAAATACGTGACTCTGATAAGATATGGGGAATTAAGATTAGGCATTATGACTATAGATTACGAGCATTTGCAGACGACTTGGTTGTAACCTTAACTCATCCAGTGAAATCAGCTACAGGTTTAATGGAAATAATTAATCACTATGGTCAAGTATCTGGGTTTAAAATAAATATTGGGAAAACAAAGATGATAACTAAAAATATGACAACAAATCAAAAAGAAGAATTAGAAAGAGTAACAGGATGTGAGATAGTTAAAAAGGTTAAATATTTAGGAGTTTATATTACAACTTCAAATGGGAAATTATATAAGTATAATTATGAATCGTTATGGCATAAAATACAGACAGAGATGGATAATTGGAAAAAATTACAACTGTCTTTGTTGGGTAGAATAGCAGTAGTAAAAATGAATGTTTTGCCTAAGTTTTTATTCCTTTTTCAAATGATACCAATACTTAAAAAGGATGCGAACTTGGAAGAATGGCAGAAGGGCATTAATAATTTTGTTTGGGCAGGGAAGAAACCAAGGGTTAAACTAAAAATAATGCAAGATATATGTGAAAGAGGAGGTTTGAAAATGCCCAACCTAAAATTACATTATGAAGCTGTTTTATCAGCAATTAGTGATTGGATTAATTTAACAAATGAAAGAATATTGAATATAGAAGGATATGATTTGGTTTTCGGCTGGCATGCTTATTTAGTGTATGACAAGAAGGTTGATAGGACTTTTAAAAGTCATATATTAAGGAATGCTTTATTGCATGTCTGGAAGAAATATAAATATAAAAATGACAAGATACCTATATGGCAGTACCCAGATATGCGATAGAGAATATAAGTATAGAACAAAGACAGGATGTAATTACATATAAAGAGGCTACTTCCTTTACGAAACAGGGGGGAGGAGCTGGTTGGAGGTGAGCAACGGCTGTAAGGAGCTCTCCCAAAACCAAATTAGGTTTTTCTTTTTTAACGTTTTTAAAGTATTTTTATATTTTTAATTCATTTTTAATCTATTTTTAATTTATACTGGACTTTTACAAAGCACATATAGTGTGGCTACTGTTTGTTTTAGACATATTTTAACAACACTACAACCTGCATTCCTGGCTTAGGCTACTCCTGTGACTTCTCCTTGCAAGGCCTGAAATTCGGATTACCGGACTTGTTGACAAACCTCAGTGGAGGCCCCTAACCTCGGAGGGGATTTTGAGCTGTTTGTTTTTGGAACGAGTACAGTAAGGAACTGGCTGGCTGCAGACACTCCCGGTAGGCCTGCTTTTAATGAAACTCTATCAGCTTTTTAGTCTCTTTCTCCCACATATTTCCCTTGTGAAATAATTTAAACAATTTAAACAATTCTGAAAATAGATGATAGCAAAGAAGTGGGAGTAAAAGACAAGCCGTTGTTTGGAAAGGAGATTGGTTTTTACCTCTGTGGTGCCTCGGCTGAGACCATCATTAAGGCCTACCTTAACTACGATTGCTGAGGGAGGATAAATTGTTGCGATATTTAATTTCTCTGGGAGATACTGGATCAACTATCTACCAGAATGGGAAAGAAAAGTAAGAGGCAGAGAGCTTGCTCTCTCTCCCCAAAATCTATGACAGAACTTAATTACTCCAAGCCTCTTAAACAGCTTAAATTGGATGACTTTATGGAGAGGTGTAATCCAGAACCCCAATCTGAACTTCGAACTTTGTCTCTGTCGACTGTATCATTGGGAGAGGGAGATACAGAAGGGGAGTTTTCTTCCCGGATTTCAGATTCAAACTCCCCTGCTAGAATGGGTGATTTTTCAAGCTCTATCCCCTCTCCTACTCCTAGCTGCTTAAAAGAAGTTCCGACATATTCAGACCTCAGAGAGATGGTCTGTACTCAGAGTATGTTAACTGCGCACACAGTAGATTCAATATATGACTTACTGACATCGATCAAAAGAGACATCGAGAGGATCTTCCAATTCTTAAATGGCCCTCACTCTGCAGCTAAGGAGGGTGAGATTGCACACCGTCCTGAGGCACGGAGAGAGTGGGAGGGTGTAAGACCTCAACCCAAACAACAAAGCATTGCAAGTACTGATGCTAACCCTCATCAAGGAAGAAGGTTGTTACAGAAACAAATCGCTTTAAGGATAAGGAAAATCCCATGCAATAGAGGACAATGGACTTCAAAGGAAAGGATAACCCTTTCACTTGCACAGCTATTGAAATCTGATCCTTTATTAATAGATCTACTCAGATATGAAAAACTTCCCCAGCATAGCAATTGTGTCCGACTAATACTGCATTTTGACAGCAATACTATACTGAACACTGTAATGAAAAGAAAAGGATCCCTGCTCAGATTTGAAGCCATTCCTACAAGAGTCTTCTCGAGTGGCCCTATTAAACCGCTTTTACAAGGACTTAACCAAACATCAAAAATGGTACCCAGGAACCACTCTGCTACCTCCAGGGTCTTTCCTCCAGAATCCAGAGAAACTATGGAGGCAGGTCAGATCAGGGAGGTCCCACATATGAAGGCAAGCACCGACAAACCAGAGGATGCTATAATCAGCGAATTTGTCTCCTTGTCTCCAAAGGAGCAAAGGTCGATGTTAATTGAATTTGATTTATTAAGATCTTCGCTAGCACAAGCGTGTAGTTCAACGAGAAGGCTATCCAAGTCGGAAGAACGGGGAAAGCATGTGCAGACAAGGCCTAAAGTCGTTAAGTCCGTCCAGCGGGATAGAAGGGAAGGCAAAAGTCTTTTCAAAGAAACAAGGACCATGAACGTAGCGGCAGAAGTTCACCCTCCCCCAACAGTGCAACTGCCCTCACCTGTCTCATCTTCCTTAAGAACGGAGGAGGTACTTCTGCAACAAACAGAGGCCACTTTTGACTCCTTTGGCACTCCAGAGAAGGCGGTGGGAGTAATTCCGGACCCCCCCACCAGAAGGGTGGAGGAAGAGACACAAGGAGTAGTGCCTCGGGGTGACTGACTAAACAACAAATGGCCAACAACTAGGGTATCTTATATCCCTAGCCTTTCCCTCCTGTCCTGGAATATAGCGGGCTGGAAAGGCATTGCAAACCGGATGGATTTTATAAAATTGATTTCAACACATCATCTTATCCTCCTTCAAGAAACCTGGCTGACTACTAATGATCCACAGATCAGTTTACCGGGTTTTGCCTCATGGCATAAACCGGCAGGCAAAGTCAATTTAAGAGGGAGGGCAATTGGGGGCTTAACCACGTTGGTCAAAAGGGATACAGGATGGAAGGGTGAAGAAATTTCTTTAGATCCTCAATTCCAATATATTCTGCCTATTAGATGTACATTCAGGGGGATGGACTTAATCTTAATTAATGTATATATTGCTCCATTTTCATTCCACCTTTTAGGAAGGGATTTGTGGGATGAATTAGATTCAGTATTAGCTACCTTAAAGGGACGCTTTCCCCAAGCAAAAATTATATTAGCTGGAGATACTAATGCAAGACTAGGTCCCTCAATGAAGAGCTATGCTAACCGAGGCCTGGTACCAACTGGTTACTTATATAATGAGTTCACTTGGTCCTCAATGGACAAGAGGACCAATAAATATGCCCAGAGGTTAATTTCCCTGCTGTTTATGAATGATATGCAAGTACTTAGTGGCTCGAGTGATGGCTATATATATCCCTATACTTTCTCGTCCAACAAAACCTCAACCTCTATCGATTATATCTGCACTTCCTCTAGTTTAGTACACCATTTTTCAGAAGTAAGAGCTATATTTAGAGAGGAAAGTGACCACTTTCCCATCACGGCTCTGGTTTCATTCTCTTCAGAAGTTAGGCCTCATTCAAGAGAGGAAATTGACACCTTAGCAAACGCCCGGGTTTATAACTATAAAAGGCTATATTGGCACAGACTTGATGTCAAATCTGTCACCACTTATTTGGGCTCAGACGAAGCCAGACACCTAGCAAGGGAAATCTCCCAATCTAAGCCCGGAGACAACACCCCAATGCCAGCTTATACAGAGCTAACTTCTACTCTTAGGAACTTAATGATCCAGAACGATAGAAAAGTAGATGGGATCTCTAGAAAGTGGTTTGATGATGATTGCCATAACTTGAGGTCAAATCTAAGAGCCGCAGTTAAGAAAGTTAACCGATCCAGACAGGATGGTGATTATTCAAATATGGTTCAACTCAGGAGAGCATACAAATCCCTACTGAAAAACAAGAAAAGTAGCTATAACACCAGGATGTGGAAAGAGGTAGAAATGGCAGCAAAATCCCAATTCCCTATGATCTTTTGGCATAAGATAGCCGGTATATTAAAACAACGTTCCCCATTTATGGACACTGATATATCAGCAGTAAAATGGGAGAAGCACTATCTTGCTTTATTTGATGGTAACAATACAACAAATGTCTTGCAATTGGATATCCTCCAGCAAGAATTAAGGAAATGTCCGGAATGGACACCAGTTACCCCTACCGAAGTTAAGCATATAATTCAATCCTTAAAAGCCGGGAAGGCCCCTGGAGAGGACTTGTTGCCTCCTGAACTCTTTAGGTCCAACATTGATTTTTGGGTACCGGTGCTGGTAGCACTGTTTACTTATATCGATAAAGTAGGGATAATCCCTGAAGGGTGGAGGTTAGCTATAGTTTTTCCAATTTTTAAGAAAGGTGACAGAGCTGCCCCATCCAACTACCGACCCATCAGTCTTCTTAATATAATTTCAAAAATGTATACGAAACATCTCCTAAATAAAATAGAGGACTGGTGCTTGGATAAGGAAATTCTGGCAAATGAGCAGGCAGGTTTTAGATCAGGTAGGTCTACCATAGACAATTGTTTTGTCCTTTCCCACTTAATTAATCAATACAAGACCCAGGGGAAAAAGCTGTATACCGCCTTTATTGACCTTACTGCTGCTTTTGATTCTATAGATAGGAACCACTTGTGGAGGAAACTACAAGTTATGGGGATGGACCCCAGACTTATTTTGTTGATCAGGATTCTCTATACTAATACGGCAATTAGAGTCAGATATGCAGCAAATAGGGCCTCAACAAACAGCATACCGACAACTAGAGGAGTGAGGCAGGGCTGCCTGCTGGGCCCTACTCTTTTTAACCTTTATATAAATGATATCCCAGCACAGCTGGATGATCTTCTGACGCACAGCCCCCAAATAGGCTCTAGATTTATTAACGTATTAATGTATGCCGATGACTTAGTGTTGTTTTCTAGAACCCAAATAGGAATGAAGAGACTTCTTGACAAGCTCACACGTTACTGTACTGCAAACCACTTGACTATAAATGTAGCTAAATCAAAAGTTTTAGTCTTTGGCAATAAGAATAAAAAGCACAATTGGCAGATTAATGACACAAAAATTGAGCAAGTTACCCAATATACTTATCTTGGAATTGTTTTTTCCAGTGCAGGAGGTTGGACTCCGCACCATCAACACCTTTCTCAAAAGGTCAGAGCAGGAGCAAGCCTTGTATCCAAATTAAGTAAACTAATCCAACCAACCTCCATTTTACCTCTTCGTAAAGTCTTTCAGGCTAAACTTGTCCCGATCATGCTCTATGGTGCTGAAATTTGGGGTCTTACAGAGGCCCCCATATTAGAGAGAACTCAAAATAATTTGTTAAGGAGGATGCTTGGGGTAAACAATTCCACTTCAGCTGCAGCCGTCAGAGCTGAATTGGGACATTTCTCACTGTACACCTATACAATCACTAGGGTGGTAGCCTACTGGCTAAAAATGACCCAGATGGATGCCAGCAGACTCCCCAAAATATGTCTAGAGGAACAGCAGATTTCAAATCCTCAAAGGTATTCCTGGCTAACCCGGCTGTCAGAAATATTGAACCGATATGGCGTAGGGTTCCCGTTGTGTGACACACTGAACCAAGTTAAACAGCGGATTAAAGATATACATGGGCAAATGGACATGGCAACCCTTTCAACTAATCATTCCCTTAAACTGCTGACAACAGTTAAAACAACTTTCACTCTGGAAAAGTATTTACATTTAGAAATGCCATCAGTGGAGAGACAGTTATTTGTTAAGTTTAGATTCGAACTTCTAGATACAAACGTTAGATTCGGCCGTTATCGGAAAATCCCGTATGACAAAAGAATATGCATATGTGGGGTAAACGTCGTGGAGGACACGGCGCATATAATATTCGAATGTAGTCTCTATCAAGTAAGAAAACAATATCTGTCCCCAATTATAAATAAATTTCCCCACTGGAATATAAGCCAAAAACTAGCATTTCTGTTGAGGGCTGACTCTCCTCCCCTGGTAAGAGCAATCACTCGATATCTTAAAAGAATGACAGCAATACGAGCCAGTTATATCAAAAAACATTTTATTGATTGTAAGGAAGATGAGCTCAGTTAGAGAGGAGCTATCCTATTTGGGTTATCTAGTCTTGGCAACTTAGCTATTGAAAATTGATATTGTAAAATTTTAACGTCATCTATCATATATTTTTAAATTGCTATTTTTGTAACCGTTTTACCTTTTTCCCTTTTTCTTTTCTGTTTTGTTTGAAAAGGCCTTCGGGCTATTCAATAAACTATACTATACTATACATATAAAGAAATTCTTAACACAGAGAGAGGTATATTAAAGTTAAAGCCCTTGAGAGTATTAAGGGAAGAAAGGGTAATCCAAACTTGGTTTCAGTATGTACAATTACAAACTAGATGGAGAAAAGATCAGAACATTGGTATTATACAAAGTGAAGAAAATTTGGTAAAACAAATTAGAGACCAGAGTCAAATGCATATAAAAAGGTTGTATAACATATTGATAGAAACAGACTTGGAAACAGAGTTAGTTAAGGATTGTATGATAAAATGGGCACAAAACTTTGAACAACCAATAATGATGGAAACATGGGAAAAGATATGGGTAAGAAATGTAAAATTTACACAAGCGCAAAATTTGAGAGAAAACTTTTACGAAATGTTTTATAGATGGCATTTAGATCCCAAAAAGTTAGCTTGTATGTATCTGAATGTACAATCGAAATGTTGGAGATGTGATTGTGATGACGCTACTTATTTTCATGTATGGTGGACTTGTAAAAAGGTTAAAGCATTTTGGATAAAAATTTGGTGGATTATTCAAAATATTCTTAAAAAGAGGATAAAGTTTACTCCACAGTTATTTTTGTTGGGTATAATCACGGAATGTACGGTTATAGAGACTAATTTGATCCTGAATTTAATAACTGCAGCAAGATTGTTAGTGGCGCAGTACTGGAAGAAGGAAGATTTGCCTACTACTCAAGAATGGATATTAAAAGTAGCAAATTTAGCAGAGATGGCAAAGATCTCAGTGCATTTGAAGGACTATTCAAATGAGAAATATATGATAGAATGGAGAAGATGGATAGATTATATTCAAAATAAATACCGGACTAAAAAATTTCAAATAGCTTACGAATAGATAGAGAGATGTTATTATGTATTCAAATTTAGTTTAGTAAATGGGGAGTTAAAGTATTAGAGAGATGTAAGAGGTTATAATTAATTAGTCTATGTTAGATTATGATTGTTGAATGTTATACCCTGTATTTTGCTCTGGGAAGTAGGGAAGGGGGTGGGTGGGAGGGAGAGGATTGGGGAAGGGGGGGATATATATGTAAACTTTTTAAAACTTTTCAATAAAAAAAAAGAATCATAAGGTACAACACTTAATGATAGTCATAGGGAAACAGTCAATATAAATCTTAAGGATACCAGCAACAAGGTTACAGTCATATAGTCATAAGTGGAAGGAGATGGGTGATAGGAACGATGAGAAGATTAATAGTAATGCAGACTTAGTAACTAGTTTGACAGTGGGAATTATTGAGGGAATTATTTGATTAGCAGAGTGATGCCGTTCGGGGAAAAAACTGTTCTTGTGTCTAGTTGTTCTGGTGTGCAGTGTTCTATAGCGTCGTTTTGAGGGTAGGAGTTGAAACAGTCCAGGATGCGAGGGGTCTGTAAATATTTTCACAGTCCTCTTTTTGACTCGTGCACTATACAGGTCCTCAATGGAAGACAGGTTGGTAGTAATTGTTTTTTCTGCAGATCTAATTATCCTCTGAAGTCTGTGTCTGTCTTGTTGGGTTGCAGAACCAAACCAGACAGTTATAGAGGTGCAGATGACAGACTCAATAGTTCCTTTGTAGAACTGTATCAGCAGCTTCTTGGGCAGTTTGAGCTTTCTGAGTTGGCGCAGAAAGAACGTTCTTTGTTGTGCTTTTTTGATGACATTTTTGATGTTGGGTGTCCATTTTAGGTCGTGAGATATGGTAGAACCTAGAAATTTGAAGGTCTCTACTGTTGATACTGTGTTTAATAGCATTATTTACATTTATATTTGCTAATTTTTTTGTCCATAATTTGAATAGCATCTGAAATTAATTACAATTTTAATGTTAGTATGGCTTAAAAATCTGCTGCATGAAATATATAGCTAATGGAATGCCATTTCTGTGTCTGTTTCCTTTTTCAGAACTGAAGTGTATCCCTAGCTGATGCTGAATAAATCTCATCATGGTAGCTGAAACCTTAGGCCTGGAAAGCTCCTCAATATGGGTGCTGGCACTGTTGGGAACTTTTACAGTAACTGTTCTTGGACTGGTGCACAAACTAGGACTCATTTATCAATTCTGGCATCAGGTAAAGCCATTTTACAACAAATTTGTGAAATAAAACATCTGGAATCATACATATCCAATGCATCCTCAGTGGAAGCTGTATTCTTGAAAAAATTATTCAGATAATTAAATATTTTTAGCAGGTGGCTTTTAAGAGAAAGTAAAAAATTAAAACTATCCCTAGTTTTTATATATCTGCAGTTCATTCCGCTGGCTCTGTATTAGAGAGAATTGTGGCAACCAGATTTTTGTTGTATGACTTCTGTTAGCATCAACATGTGTCCTTATCCTTTCTAGGTGGACCCTAAAAGTACCCGGCATGGTGGGGAGATAGTGGCAGAGGTGCTAAAAGCTCATGGTGTGCGTTACTTGTTCACGCTTGTGGGTGGACACATCTCCCCCATTTTGGTGGCTAGTGAGAAATTGGGCATTCGTGTTGTGGACACAAGGCATGAGGTGACTGCTGTATTTGCAGCAGATGCAGTGGCCAGGCTCTCAGGTATTGCTTTGTACTACTTTTTTCTGTGGGAGGAATACACAGACCCAATGACACTTTGTTTGAATTTTTATGTTGCAGGAACAGTGGGAGTTGCTGCAGTGACAGCAGGACCTGGAGTAACAAATACAGTGACAGCTATGAAAAATGCCCAAATGGCAGAATCTCCCGTGTTGCTGATTGGAGGGGCAGCAGGCACATTGCAGAAGGTAGACTGCTCCAGCCACTGGCTCTGAAGTTTGAAAAAGAACAAAGGCACAGTTTGCTAATATTGTTGATTTGTTTTGTTAGATACATAGGCTTTCTTCCACACCTAAATTAGCTTTTGCAGAGCATCTGTGTGGTAAACAAGCCACTTTTTATAAATATTTGTGTGCCAGCTATTTCTATGTGAAATTAGTATAAGAGTGGGCTTTCAGTTTTTTCTCTCCATTCTTCCTCTTCTCAGGGCCGAGGAGCTCTCCAAGATATTGACCAATTATCTCTATTCAAGCCACTCTGCAAATTCTGTGCTTCAGTGAACACTGTCAAAGATATTGTTCCTGTGCTGCGAAAAGCAATTGCTGTTGCCCAATGTAATACGCCAGGTATGTCCTTGTTTTACTGACTTGAAATTAATCTGGCCTGTTTGCCCATAATTACAGTTTCTAAGCAGAGGGAGTAGCTTGGTAGGAGTGATTGCTGGCATACTTCTGTCCCGTTTGCTAGGATGTTTGATTTAGATCTCTTTTTGCTTTCGTTACCTATCTTGGAAATCAGGAAGTCTTTCCCTTAGGCCAGTGTCATTGTTATATACCGGTACAAGCTAAAACAAAGTAAAAATTTCAAGAACTTACCCATAGCAACTTGGAGACGCTTTGAAGAAACACGTCTTTTATTTTAGCATAGCACTTTTTATTTCTGAATAGTACCCACTCCCAGCAGTGTGTTTGCCCATCATTTGAAAAATAACTCGGTCTGGGGTTTGCAGCACACCTTTCACACATCTCCTTGGCTCTTAATCTTCCCATTTAATGCTCAGAAGTAGACTCTCAACAAGTCTGGAGACATTATTTGTGTATTTGGGAGGAATACATTGGTATATTGAAGTACATTTCAAGACAATCTTCCCTCTCTTCTGTTGTAAAATTGCTTCAGTAGCTTTATGCCATGCCTTAGAATAGGGGTCCTCAAACTTTTTAAACGGGGCCAATTCATGGTCCCTCAGACAATTGGGTGGCCGGATCGGCTGGGTGGGCGTGGCTAGGTGGTCATGTGACTAGGTGGACATGTAGGTCATGTGACTAGCTGGGCATGGCCAATTTAACAATCCATTGAACAATGCACACAAATTAAACTTTAATTTGTTTTGCTCCTGGGGGTGTTTTATTTCCTTTTGTTTGCATGTTGCTCTTTTGGTTGCCTTTTCTTTTTACTAGATTGTTTTTTCAGTTGTTTAGGAGTCTGGTGGTCCACTTCAGGAAACTCAGTTTTGCAGCAATTCTTCTCAGCCCCAAGGAGCTTGAGAAATCTCTCTTTCTCTCTCTCTCTTTCCTTCTCTTTCTCTTTTCTCTCTCTTTCTCTCTCTCTATCTCTCTCTGTGTCTGTCTGTCTCTTTCTTTGTCTCTCTCCCTCCCTCTCCCCCTCCCTCTCCCCCTCTCTTTCTGTCTCTGTCTCTCTCCCTCTCTCTTTCTCTCTCACTTTCTCTCTCCCTCTTTCCCTTCCTCTCTCTCTCCCCCTCTTTCTTTCTCTCTCCTTCTCTCTTTCTTTTTTTCTTTCTCTCTTTCTTTCTCTCTCTCCCTCTCCCCACCTCCACAAGCATCCTGCAGGCTAAAAACAGGCAAAAACAGCTTGTTTTTTGGCCAAAAATGGGCCGTTTTTGCCGGGTTTTTTGCCTCCTTTTACACCCCCACCTCCATAAGCATTCCGCAGGCTAAAACCAGGCAAAAATGGGTCATTTTTTTGGCCAAAAACAGGCCATTTATGCCTGGATTTTTGCCTCCTTTCACCCCCTCCCCACCTCCATAAGCATTCTGCAGGCTAAAACCAGGCAAAAACGGCTCGTTTTTTGACCAAAAACAGGCCGTTTTTGCCTGGTTTTTTGCCTCCTTTCACCCCCCCACCTCCACAAGCATTCTGTAGATCAAGATTGTTGAGCTTAATTTAATTTAATTTAATTAATTCAATTTATATGCCGCCCTTCTCCGAAGACTCAGGGCGGCTCACAATACATTTTAAAAAATCATTATAAAAAAACATTAAAAAATTAAAAACATTAAAAACTCATTCACGCCATTCATGGCCGGATCTCGCCAGATCACAAGAGCGAGATCAACGGCCCCAGGCCTGCCAGAAAAGCCAGGTGTTCACCACTTTTCAGAAGGCCAATAGGGTGGGGATGGTCCGGACCTCAGGAGGTAACTGGTTCCAGAGAGCTGGGGCAGCCACAGAGAAGGCCCTCCTCCGCGGGCCCGCCAGCCGGCATTGTTTAGCTGACGGGACCTGGAGGAGACCAACTCTGTGGGATCTTACCAGTCGCTGGGAGCTATGCGGCAGAAGGCGGTCTCGAAGATAACCTGGCCCTGAGCCATGTAGGGCTTTAAAGGTAATAACCAACACCTTGAATTGTGCCCGGAGTCCAATAGGGAGCCAGTGCAGCTCACGGAGAATTGGTGTAATGTGGGTGCATCTAGGTGCACCCACGATAGCTCGCACAGCTGCATTCTGGACCAACTGTAGTCTCCCAACACTTTTCAAGGGTAGCCCCAAGTAGAGCGTGTTGCAATAATCTAACCGTGAGGTGACAAAGGATGAGTGACTGTGAGGAGAGCTTCCTGATCCAAGTAGGGTCACAATTGGTGCACCAGGCGAACCTGTGCAAAGGTCCCCCTAGCCACAGCTGTCAGATGTTGCTCTAATCTTAGCTGTGAGTCTAGGAGGACACCCAAATTGCGAGCCCGTTCTGAGGGGGACAATTTCTCCCCGCCCCCGAACCAAGGATGGACAATCAACATAGTCTTTAAGAGGCAATACCCACAGCCACTTGGTCTTGTCTGGGTTAAGTCTGAGCCTGTTGACTCCCATCCAGGCCCTCACAGCCTCCAGGCACCGGCACATCACATCCACCGCATCACTGAATTGACGCGGGGTAGAGATATACAGCTGGGTATCATCCGCGTATTGCTGATACCTCACCCCGTGTCGTTGGATGATCTCACCCAGCGGCTTCATGTAGATGTTAAATAGGAGAGGAGAGAGGACCGAGCCCTGAAGCACCCCGCAAACGAGGGGCCTAGGGGTCGACCTCTAACCTCCTACCAACACTGACTGTGACTGACCAGAGAGATAGGAGGAGAACCACCGTAACATGGTGCCTCCCACTCCCAGCTCCCTTAGTCGTCCCAGAAGGATACCATGGTCAATGGTATCGAAAGCCGCTGAGAGGTCAAGTAGCACCAGGATGGAGGAATGACCCCCATCTCGGGCTCGCCAGAGATCATCCATCAGCGTGACCAAAGCAGTTTCCGTGCTGTAGCCAGGCCTGAAGCCAGACTGAAAAGGGTCTAGATAATCCGTTTCCTCCAATGACTGCAGGAGCTGAAGTGCCACCACTTTCTCTACAACCTTTCCCACAAAGGGTAGGTTGGAGACTGGACAAAAGTTCTTTAATTCTGCTGGATCCAGGGAAAGCTTCTTGAGGAGGGGCCTTACAACCGCTTCCTTTACTGGTGGCGGGAAGGCCCCTTCCCTCAAGGACACATTAACGAAAGCCTGGAGCCAGCTTTGTGTCACCTCCCTGCTGGCCAAAACCAGCCAGGAGAGGCACGGGTCCAACAAACAGGTGGAGGAACTCATCGCTCCTACAGCCTTGTCCACTTCCTCAGGAGTCACAGGCTCAAACTCATCCCACACAATGGGACTAAGACCTGCCCCCATCATCTCGGTTGGAATTGCCCAATCAGAGTCCAAGTCCATCTAAATCTGAGCGACTTTATCCGACAGAAACTGCACAAATTCCTCAGCTCTACCCTGCAAGGGCTCCTCCACTCCCCCTACATTAAGGAGGGAGCGAGTCACCCTAAATAGGGAGGCTGGGCGTGAATCAGCGGATGCAATAAGTGCGGAAAAAGGCAAACATTTTGCCGCCCATCTCGCCACTAAATAAGTCCTAATAAAGGCTGTTAAGAGTGTTCGGTCAGATTCGGAGTTATTGGCCCTCCAGCGTCGCTCTAGACGTCTCTTCTGGCGCTTCATCTACCGGAGCTCCTCGGTCAACCAGGGAGCTTTCTTGGATCTACCACCATGGAGAGGTCGCAAAGGCGCAATTCGGTCCAGTGCCCCAGATGCCGCCCTATTCCAAGCAGCCACCAGGGACTCAGCCGGACTGTGGACAAGGGAATCAGGTATCTCCCCAAGCTCCTTCTGGAACCCTTCAGGATCCATTAGGAACCTGGGGCGGAACCACTTAATCGGCTCCGCCTCCCTGCCTCCCGAAGGCAAGTCCTGTGCTCTGCTGAAGGGTGGGTGGGGCAATGTGGGCAGTGCAACCTCGTGGTGCTCCGTGGGCTGGATTAATTGCTTCAGTGGGCTGCATGCGGCCCGCGGGCCATAGTTTGAGGACCCATGCCTCAGATCAGATACAGAGAAATGCCATAGCTACCCAGTAGAAAATTCACACTTCCAAAACTAACATTTCTGGAATTTCTTGGATTTGGAGGTATTGGGCAACTACTGTCTGGTTTCCAGCCTTTGAGCATTTATAACATTGGTGAAGATTGTCCAATGGAAGACAGACCACGTGTTTTAGCAGTTTTGTGATAAGAATGGTCATGATCTTGGCAGGAAAGTGTGCTTACTTAATGTTTATTGAAGGTAAAAGATATTCCATCTTTAAAAAGAGTCTTACTACTGTGTTTCCACAAAAATAAGCCCTAGCATGATTTTTTAGAATGCTCCTAATATAAATCCCAGTTAAGATTGTCAACCCTTGGGGGGTGGGCATGCCAGCACAGGAAGCAGCGAGCACTTGGGGGCCGACAGTGTCTGGCCACTGCCTGCTGGCCGCTTGGCCAATGCCCCCGGGCTGTGCAATCTGTACAGCGCAGGTGAGTCCGAGTGCTGTGACCACTGGCCTGGCCCTCAAAGCAGCAGGCAGAGGCAATGGTGCTGGGGGAAGGCATGTGATCCGGCTGCCAGATGTGACGTGCGGCAAGGAAAGACAGATGGTGGGACAGAGTGGGTAGCTGGCAATGGGAGACTCATCCTGCTTGTGCATTGGAGCTGGAGGATGATGTTGGACAGTGGGTCCAAGCACGTGGGGCCACGGCATGGCACCACCCTCACCCTGCTATCTGCTTGCCTCCTCTGTTCAGTGATAGTACTGTAGAACCTCATCAACAACAAGATTGCCAACAGAGATGCCGAGAAGAAGGAGGGGCAGGAAAAGGAGGAGACTAAGTAGGAGAGGAAAGATGACAAGGAAGAAAATGAGGCCAAAAAGAAGAGGAGAAGGAGAAGAAGTAGTATTAGTAACCAGGTTTTCTATTTGTAAATTAAAAGCATTAAATTGCACCAGGCTGCTCTGGCTGAAGGTTCTTTCCTGTCAGTGGCTTGGGAGGGACCGAGAGCCAGATGAGTTCATGGCTGCCTGAAATGTTCTTGCAGCGGCTGCTGGACATGGAATGGGCGGCCCCATGCCTCCGCCTGCTGCCGGTGCTGCCTGCAGCAGTCCCAGTTGCTACAAGCAAGTGGCGAGCGCGTCAAAAGAGAAAACCGGTACTCATCTGCCATCCCTTGCATTGCGGAAGGCGGCGAAATGTAGAGAAGAGTCACCTTCCCTTCGGGAAAGAGCCAAGAGGTGTTTTAATAGCAGGTCAAGCCAGTTGTTATTCAGATGACATCCCAGCGTGTTTTGGAAGGGAGAAGGCGCAGCTCCTATTGCCCATGCTGGGGTTTTAATGGCGGTGGCAAGAGACTGCAGGATTTATTTTAAAAAGAGAGAGAGAGCGTGCACGCTCGGCCTCCCACCAACCTCCCTTGAATACCATTGACCCTTATTTAATCCTAAACGGGGGCCAAGCACACAAAGGTGGCGGCATGGCCCCACCCCTGCCCAGACCCCTGCGTCGCCTCTAGTCAGGCAGAGAGTTTGGGTACAACAAACACAACATGTGCGCATGCATGAGAATGAGTGGCTTTTTCCCAAAGGAAGGGTGGTTCTTTATGTTTCGCCACCTTCTGCAATGCAAGGGGTGCTGGGCGAGTTCCGCATTTCGCTTTCAATGCACTCGTCGCTTGCTTACAGCAACTGGGACTGCTGTGGGTTCTTCGGGGTGGCCTGCGGGCTTTCCTGGTTAGTAGAGGATGAAGCCTGGGATCATCGGTGCTGATATTGTAACCTTGTTAAGAATCCGGGAGATGGGTGGAAATCCAACATTTCTTTCAGCCTGCTTTCCTAGTGATCGGACTAGTCACCTTTCTCCACTGAAAGACACATGCATGTATGTCACATGTATGTATGCAATATGCACTCACAGGTGAATCTGGAGAATCGTCTTCCAGCTCCACCGCACACACGGGACAAGCCTCCCGCAGCCACCCTGTGAGGACCAGCTTCTCCCCCCCCCTTCCAAGAAAGTATGAACTCTTGAGAACTTTGTATTTCAAAAGGAACCTTTTATTGAAAGGGATGAAAGCAAGTCAAAACTCAAAGCAGGCTCTGGGGTCCCTCAGGGCATGCAGTTCAGGATAAAGAAAATTAGGAACCCCCTCCCCACCTTCCAGTGTGGATTCTGACCTATCCGCTATGTAAATACAAATTGCACCAAGCCTCTCTGAGAAACAGATACGAAGAGCTTCTCAGGGTCATTTTACAATCCACTCATTTCCCCCCCACCTTTCTCTTCATTTCTCAGGGTGTGAGAATTCTTTAGGCATTCCTGGCGCCAGGAAACGGTTATAAATCAGGTTAAAGTTTATACAAAGAGGATCAGGCAAGAAATTGGATACTTAGGACACTTAGGAAAAGAACTAAATGTGACAACTCCAAATCCCCCCCCTTCTTCCATGAAGAATGGTAGATACACGGATCTGACACATCCGCCCGCTCCGTCCCACCATCTGTCTGCTTGCCATGCAGCGCATCTGGTGGGTCGGATCGTGTGCCTTTCCCCCGTGCTTCTGACTCCGCCTGCTGCTTTGAGGGCCAGCCTGGCAGTTGTAGCACTCGAATTCACCTGCGCTGTATGGGCTGCGTAGCCTCAGAGTGTGCTGGCCAAGGGGCTGGTGGGCTGGTGCTGCGGCTGCTGCTGGACACTGTTGGCCCCCATGTGCTCGCCTTCTCTTGTACACGCACTGAGGGGGTGGCACCTGGCTTGGTTGATCACCCTGATAACATGTTTTCCCGAAAATAAGCCCTAATGTGTCTTTTGGAGCAAAATAAAATAAATGACCGAGTTTTATTTTCGGGGAAACACAGTAATATAAAAAAAAATTGATTATAAATGTCTTTGCTTGGTAACAAATAATAAAGATTGGATGCGCAATTGTCTGATCCAATGAAGAAATTAAACGAAATATGTATTGTTTGACTTTTTAATAGCTTTATTTTGTCATCTTGCTTCACAGAAGATACTAGAATTGCCTTTTCTGTATTAATAATAACTGATGGTTCTTAACAATTGAGGGCAAAAAATCAAATATTCCATCAGTGATAATTTTTAGAACAGTATGTGACAGCTGGTAAATTGTTTAAGACAGTAGGAATGAATACTCATTGAATGGTCTCATGAAAACCATATTTTTCTAGCATGTTGACATTGTAAAATGGATTGTTTGTTTACACCCGCCTCATGGTTAAGTGACTGTATAAGACATAAGGTTAAGTGACTGTATAAGACATAATAGTGCTATATAAGATACGGTTATTCATTTAACTACAGATTTTTCTTTTAACATTATATCTTCCACTAAAAACTTTGTTAATCTTACAGGCCCTGTGTTTGTAGAGTTTCCTTTGGATATTCTATATCCTTATCATTTGGTTGAGAGAGAGATACTTAGGAATGCTTTTCCCAAGAGCCTGAAAGGAAAGGCCTTGAACTGGTGAGTTGTGAATTTTTGCTATCAGGAAAGATTTTAATGGATCAGTTGGCTCAAAGAAAGCCCAATGATAGATTGTTGCAGTATAGAAAATCAAGGGGAAGTTCATTGATATGTGCATTAGATGCTGCTATGGAATATTTTTTGTCATATATATGTATGCATACATAAGGTAAAGGTTCCCCTCACACATATGTGCTAGTCATTCCCGACTCTAGGGGGTGGTGCTCATCTCCATTTCAAAGCCGAAGAGCCCACGCTGTCCGAAGATGTCTCTGTGGTCATGTGGCCGGCATGACTAAACGCCAAAGGCACACGGAGCACTGTTACCTTCCCACCAAAGGTGGTCTCTATTTTTCTACTTGCATTTTTTACATGCTTTCGAACTGCTAGGTTGGCAGAAGCTGGGACAAGTAATGGGAGCTTACCCCATTACGCGGCACTAGGGATTTGAACCGCTGAACTGCTGACCTTTCGATCAAGCTCAGCGTCTTAGCTACTGCGTCCCTTATGCATACATACATCTATGCATGTAAACACATACTGTTTCTGATCATTTCTGGATTTTGTTTCTGATTGTTCAGGGAAAGTATGAAAAAAGACTAATACAATTCCAGGTAACCTACATTATTTTTCTTAGATTTTTTTAAAATTAGATCTTCCTGACAATCTCTTTATCCCAGGGGTCTCCAACTCCTGGGCCTTAGTCTACTACCAGGCCATCTTCTGTTTGGAATTTGACTGCACAAATGGCTGGCCGGAGCACATGCAGTGGCCCGCTACTTGTGCAAGGACTGTGTGCACGTGTGCGTCAACTGCCACTCACGTGGCCCAGTTTTTCCCCCCTCAGTCAGGCTGCCAAGCCACAAAAGTTGGAGACCACTGCTCTAGACTAAAACAAGCATAAAATTTGAAAAATTTCTCTTGTTTAACCCTTTTTATAGGACAGTTTCTAAATTTGGCTGAGTATTTTAAGAGAACTGTCTTACAGTGCATACTTAAATGCAACATATTTCTCCAAATTGTAGAAATAATAGCTTCTGCATATTTCCTGTTCTTGCTTTGGATTCTATGTTCTTTGTGAGATGTTATTGGCATCCACTTAATTTAAAGGCATAATTTCCTGGGATAACATGGTGACTTTGTGAGCCCAGGAAAATTTGCAGCTTTAAGGAGCCAATGCCATCTCTAAAGCAACTGAGCATCCTGATTGACAGTAGTGACAAGGAATGCTGTTTACCAGTTTAGACTAATCTGCCAGATGTGAAGTTATTTGAAATAATTAGTTCAAATCAATAAACCATTTTTAATCATTTTAAATTAGATTTTTGTGGTCTGTTCTAAGGTGAGCTACAGGTAGGCTAGATTCAAAATTCCAATAGGTGCAGAAGCAGAGCATGCAGCAGCTATTTTGTTCCAGTTGCAGGGGAATCAAATTAATTTCCAGGTTATTTTCAGGGTGCTGGCAGTTCCTCTATAACTTTAAATCAGAATTTGATAATTTTGTAAGCAACAAGAGCACTTTTTCTTTACTAGATTCATGTAATAAATCTTAGCTCGCTGTAATTTACATACTTCCTAATCTTGCAAAAAATAATTACTGCTATCTTATTATTACTGTCAATTTTCTCCTGTAGGCCAAAGATTTGTAGTATGGCCATATATGATCCCTGCATTCTGATTTTATGTTTTATAATCTAAATCTTTTTTTATATCTTGTATATCTTGTACTGAGAATATCTTCCTGCTATTTAATAATGGACTCTTGACTGTATCCAACCCAATAGAATATTAAACAGAATAACAAAATAACAGAATTGCAAGGAACCTTAGAAGTCTTTTAGTCCAACCCTTTGCTCAAGCAGGAGACCCTATACCATTTCAGACAAATGGCTGTCCAGTCTTATCACTTTTCCAGTGATGGAGCATCCACAATTTCTGAAGGCAATCCGTTCCATTGTTTATTGTTTTCACTATCAGGAAATTTCTCCTAAATTCTAGCTTTCTTCTCTCCTTGATTATTTTCCAACCATTGCTTCTAGTCTTGCCTACTGTGCTTTGGAAAATAGTTTTCCCCCTTCTTTTTTGTGGCAGCCACCTAAATTTTGGAACACTGCTATCCTGTCACTCTTCTTTTCATTACATCATGGATGTCAAACTCAATTTGCTTAACACACTGTAAGCCGCCCTGAGTCTCCGGAGAAGGGCGGCATATAAATCAAATTAAAAAAAAAAAAAAAAAAATTTCATTGAGGGCTGCATCAGGAGGGCTGGGCAGCCCTGGCTGACTGGGTGGGTGTGGCTGACTGGGTAGGCGTGGCCAGCTTGACGCCATCACGGCGTGGCTGACTGGGTGGGTGTGGCTGATGGTGGGTGTGGCCAGCTTGACATCACTCCCCAAACTGTTGCCATGTTTCCTCTTCGCATTGGGTAGACTGAGCCGAAGCCACGCTGGCCTGATGTTTCTTCTTTACATTGGGTAGACCGAGCCGAAGCCACGCTGGCTCGATGTTTCATCTTCGCATTGGGTAGACCGGGCTGAAGCCATGCTGGCCTGATGTTTCCTGTTCACATTGGGTAGATCAGACTGAATTGACTCAGGTAGACCGGGTCAAAGCAACATGGGCCAGCCCCTTACCTTTTCCAAGATGGCTCCGTGAGCCAGATCTGACCATATTGCGGGCCGGATCTGGCCCATAGGCCTTGAGATTGCATTAGACTATCCATACACAATTCCTGCAATTGTTCTTCATATGTTTTAGCCTCCAGCCAGCTAATCATCTTTGTTGCTCTTCTCTGCACTCTATCCAGAATCTCAGTACCTTTTTTATATTGTGGTGACCAAAACTGGATGCAGTATTCCAAGTGCAATTTTACCAAGGCCTTATAAAGCAGTTTCATGTTATCTTGTTTCTATCCAGAGGTGGAATTCAGCCAGTTCAGACTGGTTCTGGCGTACTGGTAGCGGAAATTTTGAGTAGTTCGGAGAACCGGCAGATACCACCTCTAGCTGGCACTGCCCCTGCCATCCCGGTTGCCGCTCGACCCTGCCTGCCTAGGGGTCCCCAACCCCAGGGGTCCCCAACCCCTGGTGTTCTGTCCAGCACAGTTTCTTTACAAGTTGTTCCTGTTGCCATTGGCCGTACCGCGGTTACGTCACGCGTGCGAGAGATTCCCTGTTAATGATTGGCTAGAGCAGCCGAGCTCTTACTATATAAGAGCTGTCAAATGCCGGGTAGAGTTCAGCCGGCTACCAGTTGTGTATTGTGAACCAATAAAGAGTTCTTGTTGATTTCACGCATCGCCTCAGTCTATGCTCGGTCATATATAACACTAGAGGTACGCAACCCAGGGGGAATGACCACCCTATGCCCCCACAAAAGGCAGCCCCAGTGGACAGAAAGTTCATGTTGCCGGAGCCTGAACGGCTTGAACCGTTTGGCCACTTGTCCTAATGGCCATCCTCTACTCACCCAGTCAAGCACCTGCGCTAAAACGGGGTCGTCTACTGAGTGGGCCGCAACATCGGTTGCAGTTAACGGAGGGGACAGCTCCTCCACAAGGAGGATGGAGGAGGCCGGGGCAGGGTCCAAAATGGAAAGGGGCAAAGGGCAGCGACAGCGCGTCAGTGTGTGCAATCTGCTTACCTGGATGGTAGACCAGGGTGTAGTTATAGGCAGCTAAAAACTCAGTCCAACGGGACATTCTGGGGGAAAGTATTAAAGGGGTTTGGCAGTCCCCTGCTAGGAGTCCTAGAAGGGGTTTATGGTCAGTCACCAATTCGAAGTGCCGGCCATAGATGTAATCGTGGAACTTCTTGACAGAAGCCACAGCAGCTAGAGCCTCCCTGTCTAACTGACTATACCTACGTTCGATTGATGACAGAATGCGCGAATAGTAGGCAATAGGAATTTACAACCCATTTGGAAACCAATGACTAAGAACGGCCCCTATGCCAAAAGTGGAAGCATCGGCTGTTAGAACGAGAGGAAGGTGAGAGCTGTACTGTACAAGGACAGCAGATGATGTTAGTAAATCCTGGACAGCTCGGAAAGAGCGGGACTCAGCCTCGCCCCAGGATCATGGCGTGTCTTTACCTAGGAGATGGTGAAGAGGTTCGGCAACAGTAGCTTTATGGGGCAAAAACACGCTATAAAAAATGAGGAGCCCCAGGAAAGCTTGCAGGTCAGCCTTGCACGTGGGAGTGGCAGCGTGTTTTATAGCCGCCACCTTGGAAGGAGTGGGGTGAATACCAGTGATATCCATTAGGTAACCCAAAAATTCCACCCGTGGCATGCCAATTAGACACTTAGTTTTTTTCAATTTGAGGCCAGCCTTCCTGAAACAGAGAAGGACGGCCCTGACACGGCTGACGAGCTCACTCCGACAAGAAGTGGAGATGAGCACATCATCGAAGTACGGCACAACCCCAGGGAGTCCATGCAGGAGCCGTTCCATTAAGTTTTGGAACAACCCCGGAGCAATGCTTATTCCGAATTGTAGGCGCCTGCATTTAAAGGCCCCCCGGTGGGTTACAATAGTTTGAGCCTCGGCTGAGGCATCATCCACTGGGAGGTACTGATAAGCCTGGGCCAGGTTTAGCTTAGCAAAAATGGAGCCTGACCCGAGGGAGTGGAGCAACTGTTGGACTACCTGTAACGCCCTGTTCAAGGTACATTTAAAATCCGCGCAGATGCGGACTGAGCCATCCAGCTTGATAGGAATAACTATTGGTGTTTCCCACCGGGAATGGTCAGTGGGTTTTAACATCCCTTGAGCAATCAGCTTATCCATCTCGGCTTCAACCTTTGGATGGAGGGCAAGAGAAACTCTCCGGGGCTTCAGTCTAATGGGGGCAACGTTGGGGTCTAAATTTAGCGAAATCGGGGAGCCCACATATTTACCCAGAGTATCATTGAAAACATCACTGAATTCTCTGGCCAACACATCAAAATCGCTCTCCGAGGTTGTTGAGTGGATGCCTGAAATGGCAAGGCCCAGGG